GTATTGGAGAAGAGATGATTAGTTTGCGATATATAATATGACAATTTTTATAAAGCTTATTTAGTTGGTTGTAGGACCATGCTTTTTTGTTTTTAGCAGTGTATTGTTTAGTGATATGTGCGTAAGAAAAGCAGATATTATATATTTTTGTGTCTATTTGTTTCCAGTGGAGCTGTAAGTTTCATAGTACTAATTTTCTTAACATAGCTGATGCCATGTCAGTTTCTGATTCAAAGCTAATTATGGCAAGTCTTTGTCTATTATATTTAACTGGAGATCTTGGAATGAAACATATTTTTGCATTGATTTGAAGAAGAGTATCATCTAATTCATAGGCTGTGGTGCCATAAGGTAGATTAACTAACTTGACTGAGAAAGTATCTCTTTGCTGAATAGTCTTGTGTTAATTCAGAAGTGATAAAAGACGCACTCTATCTGTTCCCAGTAGTACTGACTATTCTTCAATTGCTATTTTGGCCTGTTCTTCAGTAGAATATTGGACAGTTATATAGGCCCATTTATTAACTATACGCTGTTTGATGTCTTGGATTTTTCTAAATTGGGATATTACTGTTTGGATCTGCTTGATTGTTATGCCCAGAGGAACATCTCTCATTGCTACTACCATGTTTGTATTCACCTTGGTTAATGATGTTGGGTGATTATTTATTAGGAAGTTATTATCGAAGAAAATATGGTTAGCCTGATCTTGCGATTTGGCTAATAAGAATTCTGCACATATATATTTAGATTTACAGAGTCATATCACGTGAAAGATAGCCTAGACCAAGAAAAAGTTAATTCACCAATACTATAGCATATCTTCTATGATCCATTACTATGCATAATCGATTCAGTCAAGCTCACCCATGGTTATAACATAAATAATACATTAATCCAATTCTCACATTTCAAACCTGATCCTATCCAGATACATGTTTCTAACTTAGCCTTTGTCGATGACACAGTTTGGATAGCCAATTCCAAAAACAATATAGTTCAAATCCTTCAACTGGCTCAACAATTCTTCACAATGTGCGATATAGCAATCAATACAAAAAAAACAGAGGCAATGACAATTAACTCTAATAAACAAGCTGATACAGTCAAATTATCTTTCAATCCAGGAGACTCAGAGCTGAAAATTATTCATAATAGTAACTATACTAAATATCTTGGAATCTTGCTTAGCCCAGATGGAAAATTCAAGATCCAATAATAACAAATCAAAACTGAAGTAGACTCAATAATAACAATACTAGAGAAAAAATTCATTACAGACAAACAAGCAATTTACATCTTCAACAGAGTTCTATTCCCAGCTATCGAATACAAAACTTAACTATTTGTTCCCTCTATCACCTTCTGCAAATCAATAATGAGAAAAATTAAGAAAATCATCAAATAAAAATCAAAGCTTCCTACAGATTGTTTAAACTCTATTCTACATCATTCCACATTATTAGCTCTTGAGAATCTCTCAGAAACTTTGGCTAGAAGTAAAATTTCAGAACTATTCATTCGACTCAATAATAATATACTCATGGGCAAAATTACATAAATCAGATTACAAAAACTTTAGCAGCAAAGATGGACTGAAGATTCAGTATTTCTCAATCCAACTCCAGAACTCTTACCGATAGGGAAAAATCTAATAGCCAGCATATTATTCCTAATATATCAATTCAACATCTCCTTTTTACCTTCCACAAATAACACATCAACTGCAATTTATTCATCCCACAGATAGCCC